AAAAAGAAGGGAGAAAGAAAAAACAGCCATCCTTAAGCTATCTAGTATTTGAAACCCATATGGATTATCTACTAATAAGAGTAACAAAAAAGAAAGAAGTTTAGTTCACTTCTAGTAGTAGGCCATTTAATTTGAACCAGCTTACATTACATCATACTAATAATTAAATTATGATAATCATCCAAGTATACAACTTTAAAATACTACCAACTTGAACATTAATAAAGTAATCATAGTTGAAAAGTTAAGTAAAACCGATTAAACTAAAAAAAAAAAAATGAATTGCTTTAACATAATTTATAAAAAATATATTAAAATATGAAGTTTGTTGGTCTTCATTATTGTGTTTTATAATTTTTTTGTTATCTTTGAAAAAGAACTATGCATCGGACAAAGAAACATTAATTCTAACCATGAAAGAAGTATTTCCCAGGAGTATAGAATGCTAACTGTGTATTAACACTAATATTCTGATATTATATTCTAATTTCAAGCCTGGCCTTTATGGATTTCAGGTATATATTTTGTGCAAAAAAGTAATTTTTGATAAAATATACTTTCAATTAGAAAATAGCATATTTTAAATTCATTAGCTGAGCTTGTTTAATACAATCATAAAGGATTACAACACTATGCAGGTCTTAGCCTACTCAAGGAGGCATTCCCAGGTGGATCCACCCAGGGTGGATGCCCGTCCACTGGTCATGGATGTTAAAGATACATCTGGCATCTTGCAATCACAATCTCAGTCTACCTCATGCTCGCTTGATAAAAAGTGATAATGAACCTCTGAAAGGAACTCTTTAGTAATTTAAAGATAAAACTTGTCACTAATATAAGAGATAATTAGGTTTTAAACCATAGCAAATTGACAATGTCCCATTGAAAATATATAACAATATTTGAATTTAACTTTAATTTTATTGCAGTGAATAGAAATAATCAGAGGCTTTATATCTATAACAATTGGACTTAAATATAATCAACCGAAAGGTACCTTTTAATTTTAGGATTTGTTGATAAAAAAACTTGGTGATAAATAAAAAAAATCTGGTGCGGTGTGCGCATCATACAACTTTCCCTTACCACCCTCTTCTTAGCAGAAATAAGTATTTTCAGACAAAGAGGAAGTGAAAGTAAAAATTATAAATGCTATATTGATTTATATTTCATTGTAGATATTTTTATTTGTTTAAGTATCCTTATATATACAAATTTTAATATTTATATCGCTGTACTCTATACAATTAAATATTAAATAATACCAATGAAAATATTTAGGAAAACTGTATCTGTATATGTACATAATATTGTCGGAGTCCGTATTATATTAAGCTCATGTCACTATGGAAGCCTGTTCTAATTTTTGGGCCAGCTCGGCCCCGCTCGTATCTCTTTGGTTCTCTCTGTTATGATCTCTTATTTCTCCTTTAGTTAATTATCAAATTCTTTCATATTTTATATTTAACTTTTTTTTTATATTAGAGATCAATGTGAAACGGTTAATTATTTCAAATAACAAAAATTAAAGGTACTTTAGAGGTCGCTAATATTGAAAATTAGCCATTTAAGCTCTGTTAGAGAACATCAATGAGAACCTACATAATATTAGAAACTGCTTAATTTTACACTGATATAATGAATTAAATTAAAATTGTTGGAGCCGTTTTCGAGAAAATAGTAAAAATGTGTTTCATAAATGAAAAAGTGCCAAAACATCTCAGCTATATACAAACCTTAAATATCCAATTTCACTTTCATTCAACTTTTTGGTATTGAGTTAGACCTGTCACATACATATGGTCTAACACACACACACAGGCCATTTTGCGAGACTTCATTATTTGGATTCAGAAGACCTCAAAAGATATATTTCTCTTGAAAACTCAGATTCGAAAATTTTCACGAACGTTATACTGTCCCTTACTATATATTTCATATATAGGTAAGTGAAAGTAAAAAATATATCAACAATGGGTTGCTTATTAATTAGAAATTATGATAAGACATTTTTAGGTATAGCACAGTATCTGATTGAATCTAGATTTTTTCTTGTTTCTCACACACAAAGCTCATGAGATTCATTATCACTTATCTATGACAAGAGGCACTTTCTCTAAAACAATATTAAAAAAAAAAACTAAAATCAAAAAGCATTAAAAGAAGCTAAGAAATTTATTTTTAAAAATTTACTGAAGCAAAAACCAGGAACTTGGACAGTAGTTATTATTAGAACAAAAGGGTTAGGAATTGATAAAAAGTGAGTTTTATCAATTTTACTTGACTTTTTCCATTCATTAAGTTATACCTTCAAAAACTAAATAAGCGCCAAAAAATATATAGATGAGTCAAGCAATAAATGGAAATATTATTTTTAATCAATAAACCTTTCTTTTACAAAACGCTAAGTCTTCAATTATATTTAACTTTTGCTAAGCTACCTTTTCAGTAAAATTATTTAAAGCTTTTCTAAAATATTATTCTTTCAATTTTTAGTACCTCTTTTATCATTAATATTATTGTTCACTTCACTTTTAGGATTCTTAATTTCAAAAATACTTTGGTCCTCTATCTCACAAAATATATTAATTTTATACCTGCATAAGTGTTTGAGTCACCAGTTTAGTTTTTAGTTAGTCGATAAATAAATACATCAATAACATAAGAATACTACTGTAGCAATATAATTTATTAGAGGGATATTGTTTTCTAGATAGATATATTGTTACCAAATGATATAAGATTATATCAATAAGATTGGACAAAGAGTACATTGAAAATATAATACCTAGGATTAAACACACTACAAATATTGTACATAACCACTGATCATGTTATCAATACAAATAAATAAATATCAGGTCATTCTATAAGTACTGCCGGTTTTAAAAATCTGTTTATGTTGACATTACTACTCCCTCATTTACAACTGAAATGTTTACAAATTTAGTTTATTATAGACATACATAGTCTACTCATTTCTTGGAATTCGATAAATGAGAAAATGCTGCTTCAACTTATCAGATTAGCTATTGTTAGATTAACAGTGGACAGTAATTTTGAAAGCATAACATTGTATAATTGGTTTTTAATAATAACCATTTTAATTGAAATTTTAGCTCAAAATAACTTACATATTCCAATAAAAGGATGATAAATAGAAGAGTAATTAATACTATAATAAACAAAACTATGAAAACGATGCAATTATAAATGAACAATTATTAATATTAACATAAACAGAAAGATTTTTAAAAACTCACATTAAAAAAAAAAAAATCTAAGTTGAAACTCCAAACATGTTAAGGTGGTGCTAGGAAGCTTGAATTCAATTCCCAAGTGAATTAGTTAAAATGTTATTTCAAATGGTTTCCATGGTAATATGACAATCTTAAACATTTCTGTTCACCTCAGAAGAGGAAGTCAATCTGTTTATCCTCATAGAGCTTGGTATGATAAGCTCATGAAATCTACAGGAACTGCCAGCTATTAAGCAATATAGGCCAATTACTTCCCTTTTTCATTCTAAGGAAATCATTTGAAAAAGTAACAAGATTCATTATTTTAATATTTTACTAAAATGTTCTTACTGAAACTAATATACTAGAAAGTGAACAACAGATCAGAGAATAAATTCTACTTGAGAAAATTGACAGTAAGAAACAAAAATTGATTAAAGGCAATTTTTAACACCATCAAAACATACAAAATGATTATTTTTAATTATTCAAGAAAAATAAAATAGTAATTATCATTAATAATTGTCATGCAATTGAAAGCCTGGAGGAAATGACCTAGAAAAATTGACTGAAAACTTTTTAAAAAGGGTTGAAGGCATTCCTTTACCTTTAAATACTGATTATTCAACCCTTCACAGTGATGTTATCCACTTAGTTAAACATATAATTTAAAAGGTTCCACAAACATGAAAAGTTACCATTTTATCAGAAGAGTGAGCACATGAAAAAAAAAATCATCAGTTAACATTTGAAACAAACACGTTGAAGACAACTACCTGTTATAACGCTTAGATTCCTTCATTTACCAGGGCCAGGTGTTGCGAGCCCTCGTGGGGATGTCAATCAATGTGAGTAGTATGCTTTACAAGTTTTGTCTTCTTAATGGTTGGGGCTAGTAGCCTAGAAATCAGTTATGAAAGATGTTTCACCATAAATTATGGTACTATAAATTTTAAAATAACAGTTTAAATGCTCATAAATAAAATTTTATTCTTTACAATGAAGAAACACCTAACAGTAACTGTTCATCTGTCATACATTAATAGTGAAATAGCTCTAACTTGATATAATACTAAAAATATTTAATTGTAACTTTAAAACAAAGTTATCTTAAGAACTTTGAAAGTTAATCAAAGTATTCAAAAAAACTTGTTGATTTAACTTTTTACTCAGAGAATCCATTAAATAAATAAATGCTAGTTACATTTTTGAAAAAAAGGTAACAATATACTATCTTTCCTTCAAAATACTTAGTTTGTTAAATGAAAAAGGAATTAATACACCAATATACTTATACCTAAAATCTAAGGATATGAATCAATTTTTAAAGGAAAAAATCACAGATTACAATATTCAGTACTATCTTTCTGCACATAAACAGTTAATAAATCTTAACATTTACTTATTTTCCCAAAATAAGTACTTAATATTTGTCTCTACTCTCAAGATATAAATCATTACGAAATGACTAAAAATTAACTATCACTTGATAATAATTTAACACAGAAACGAAACAAGAATAAAAAAAATAATATAATAATAAAACAATGTAGATGATTCATAAATATAATGATAAAATATATTACTTAAAAAATAAAAAATTGCTGCCTACAGACCAAGAAGCTGAATAACTAATATTCTAATGTCTTATTTCCATAACATGAAGCGAGCTCTCTACATAAGCTGTAAGGCCATTAACAATTGATCGTTTCCTGGTTGTTGGAGAAAAAAAAAATACCTCATCAGTTAACCGCTTGGTACCTGGGAGAAGGAACTGCTATGAGATCCTCAGTTGAAGTCTGTGAATGTTCGTTATCTGAGAAGAAGACTTGTTCCTGTCCAACAAATGCCCAAGCCTGAGCTTTACCAGAAGCCATCAATGAATAAATTATGGAACCCACGACGTAAACAGCTGCAGATATGTGGAAGATGGTTTGCCATTCCAAGGATGTCTATAAAAAGATAAAAAAGGTTAATAATACGTTTTAAAAAAAAAATATATGTGAATATTAATAAGATAAAAAGATAATCAAATGCATAAGACTTTGAATGCTGTGGAAAATAAAAATATGCTTAGTTGTTCGGCAATAATAACTTCCAGTTGTTAACAATTGAGTATATTTTACTATCAACGTTACATGTTAACAGGTTAGTTGACGTTTCGGGACATTTATTCCCATCTTCAGAACTGCAATTCCAATACTCTTGTGGATGCAAGGCTTAAATTTAATAATAATAATAATAATAATAATAATGTGCTCCATCGTCAATTTTCTAATTTATGTTCTAAAATTTATCATCTAGAGCAACATCCTCCTTTTGACCAATAATTGGGTTTCTGCCTTAGACTATGGTTAAAAAAGTTAGTTAAAAATCACAGTAATTAACTACATTGTTATGTTCAAGACTTCAGTCAAAACACTTTACCATGTAAAATGGTCTCAAAATAATAAAATGGATTTTGATATTGTGAAAGAACTAAGAGATATTCCATCATTGACCTAGTGTTTATTAACCAATTCATGATAAAATACAATGTCAATAATAATTAATTGATATAGAAAAAACTAAATGAAGAGCACATCATTCAGTCTTGAATATAACACTGCAGTAAATATGAATATCTATAATAGTATAGTAAATATGAAAATCAAATATGTAAATAAATTGTTATTTTTGTTGAAACCACAAGGAATTTTTGTCATAACTGATAAAAAAAGATTTTATAAATTGTATTAATTTCATATGCATTGCTTCCCTTATCTCTAAATATTTGATAAATATGATGAATGGCATAGCACTTTTCAAGATTCTAGAATAAAAAAACTATGAGATAACTTGAAGTTGCTCTCCTAGACACTAACAGAAAACACAAACTATGAGTAATATTGCAGTAGGCAGTCAATGTGTTAAGATGATTTGATAAATAATAATTGTTTGTCTCGCATTTGAGTTACTTTTAGAAAATAACTACAGAAATAACCTTGTGTTGAACGATATAACTCGTCAGCATAGGACTCAATATTCCAGGAAGTGTAGCAAACGTGTTTGATATTCCCATTAAAACACTTGCATATTGTGGTGCAATATCTAAGTGATTCACACTGAAATATATAAAAGGAAATAATTTTATATAAATTAGTTCTGTTTTAATATATATATAAAGAAAGCCACAAAATTGATTAAAAACAAATATTCACCTAAATCCACCATACGCTAGCCCGCCGAATCCAACAGCGACAGTTAGGGATGCGACAATGGAAAGAGGTGTCTCAGAGTGTGCAGCAGCCAGCAAAAAAATTGCTCTAGTAGCAAAACCCGTACATGTAAATAATTTTCTTACCTGAAAATAGTTGTTTTAAGTATTTAACTGAGGAACATTACCTCAAATTTATAATAATTTTATAATTTTTATGTGCTTTTTGTCACAAAAATATTAAACATGACAGACTTTTTAAAAAATTAAAATAGCTCTACCCTCTTTTATCTATGTATATATATATATATATATATATATATATATATATATATATATATATATAAGATAAAGACCGGAGACTGGCGATATCAGCCTTAATACCATCTTGAAATGTAAACAAATATACTAATTGTATATAAGGAGAATTATTGAACGAATAAAGCAGTGTTTATTCAGAAGCCGTGAGTGTTGCATCTCAATCCTTTTCCTTCTTTTTTTTTATTTCTGAAGTCCGCCGACGCTTAACTGGTGCCGAAACCTGGGACGTCAGGAGAACACAACAAGTAATTTTTTTTTTAGCTAAGTTTATTTTTTTTCTAGTCATAAGGAAAAGGAGAGATGCCGACCGAGGGCTTAATTAGACTGGGAGTATTAAGCGCACCGGAAATTCCTCAACCTCAGGAAATTCCTCAGATCAACCAGATACCTCAGATCACGCAGACCCCTCAGGTTCCTCAGATACCTCAAATCCCTCAGGTATCACAGATCCCTCAGATCCAGGAGATCCCTCCCTTACCGAGGGACACGTTGGCAGAAGCTCACGCCAACGCATTGGAATGGATGAAGATAAGAGCAGCAACTACGCAGGACTTATGGAGGGCCATTGCGGACCTGGAACGCTTCAGGGGCGAGGTAGGTGAGCTCAACCATTTCTTGAAAGGCGGAGATCACCTCATGTCAAGAATCGAGGTAAAGGTGGCGGAGGACCTGGTGAACCTAGGGGACGCAGAAGCACTAAAAGCAGCTCTTGTGTGCCGAGTAAGGAGGAACGTCCTGAACCAGATTCAAGCGGAAGAGGAGACTCCATGGCCGGTGATTAAGGAGCGATTGAAGAAGGCTTTCGGAGGAGGTAGATGGACGCCGGAAGAGGATATCTTCCAAATGTTTAGGGAGCGGCGGTCCCAACGACAGACGAGGGGACAGTATGCGGGGGTACTCGTGGCGAAGTACAACCGCATAACCGAGAAGATGCGTGAAACGATGAGCGTGGGAGAGGTTGAAGCCAGGATGGAGTTCCTTTCGACAATACTGAAAGTCCAGCTGGCTAAGGAAACGGGGAGGAGGGACGGACTGCCCAGCGAGCGATCGTTCCTCGAATGCGCCCAGGAGATGATCGACCTAAGTGCAAGAGAGGAAGAGACGCGGATGGACGTGGAGGAACCAGGATGGATCGGAGTGACGGATAGACGACCACGGACAGCCCCGACAGGTTGGAGGAAGAGGGACATAAGGCAACAGAATGGAGAAAAGGCCATGATGGGTGAAAGAAAATCCGGACAGTCGTCGAGGCCGAGGAATGGTCCCCGGAGGGAAGAGAGAAAAATGTCACGGGTGTGGGAAGCCGGGACATTTGGTAGCGCAGTGTCCGCGCACTAGATGCTTCGAGTGCGGGACCGAAGGGCACATAGCGAGACAGTGCCCATACATGTTTCGCAGGAGAGAGAGACCTCAGGACGAGCCAATGGAGGTGAATGTGCAGAAAATGAAAAGGCGAGCTAGGGTGCAGCAGAGGGACGGATCCTCGGATGAGGCGACCGAGGAGTCGGGAACTTCGGGAACGAAGACGGACGAACCAGACAGCAGCGGAGGCGAAGGAGGCAGGGGCAGCCAACGGAGCGAGCAGCGATGAGCGGCAGCAGTGAGGAGGAAGCGGGGCGACATCTGAGGAGTGTGTCAGCAGAGAGGCGACCGCACAGCAACATGCAACAGTGTCCGAGGTAAGCCATGCTGGTTGCCAATTATTGAAGTAGATGGGGGAGTAAAGTGTCTTGTGGACACGGGTAGCTCGAGCACTATCATGACCCGAGGGGCGTTAGGGAAAGTGTGCGGGAGCGAGAGGGTACTCCGGATACAGAAATGCGACTGCCAGCTGATCACTCTGGGTGGTCCCTGTAGCGTAGAGGGGGAGGCGATAATTAGGCTTGATCAGTGGGTAGGGAAAGAGGGTGAGCTAAGGGTGCATGTGGTAGAGAACATGACTCGGGAATACCAAGTCATAGTAGGGTGCGATCTGTTAGGGCAGGTAGGGGCGAGCATCAGAAACCATAGGGGAGCCTGGAGTATTAGGCTGGGAAAGAGGAAATTTGGATGTGTAGGGATCGCGAGAGAAAGAAGGGTGCGGATAGCAGCGGTGAACAGGGTGGAGGACTGGAGGAAGTCGCTACAAATGGAGTTCGAAGATATTTTCTTCAGGGAAGGCGAGGTATTGGGGGTAACAGGGAGGACGGTGCATGAAATCCCACTGAAGCAGGATAGGGTAACCTACGTGAAGGAAAGAAGATACCCGCAGGCGCTGAGGCAGCATATTCAGGAGGAATTAGACAGCCTAAAGGAGCAAGGGATCATCGTTGATAGTACCTCACCATTTAATAGTCCCCTTTGGGCGGTGAAAAAGAAGGCAGTGCCGGGGGATAACAAGGAAAGATACAGGGTAGTAATTGACTATCGGAAATTGAATGACAACACATTGGATGAGAAGTACCCGATCCCCAGATTCGAAGATATACTCGATAGGTTAAGTGGGGCAGTGGTATTTAGCACATTGGACCTCGAAGCGGGATATCACCAAATACGGATGCACCCAGAAGATCAACACAAAACGACGTTTACATTCGAAAGGGGGCATTATGAGTTCACCAGAATGCCGTTTGGTCTGAAGAATGCGCCCATAACGTTTCAACGTCTGATGGACGAGTTTTTGAGGGGTATTGATGACTCGGTATGCCAAGTGTACATGGACGACCTGCTGATTTTTAGTAGAACGGAAGCTGAACACTTGGGGCATCTGAGATCAGTTTTCGAAAGGCTGCGGCAATTCGGGCTGAAATTGTCGAGCGAGAAGTCCCTGCTGGGGCAAACGCGGATTAATTTTTTAGGCCACACTATCTCTAGCGAGGGGGTCAGACCGGATGCAGCAAAGGTGGAGGCAATCACACGGATGGCGGTACCACGGGACGTTAAAGGGATCCGGAGGCTTCTCGGGACGCTTAATTATTACCGGAGATTCGTGCCTGAGATGGCAGAGTATTTGGTACCTATCAACAATTTGCTGAAGAAAGGCGCGAAGATTGTGGTGACACCGGAAATGGAGAACAATATCCGGAAATGCATGAATAGGTTGCAGGCAGAGCCTGTGTTGGCGTTCCCGGATTTTGAAAAGCAATTCAATATAACCACCGATGCGAGCGAATACGCGTTAGGGGCCGTTTTGTCTCAGGGAAGAAGTGAGGGTGAACGTCCGATAGCATACGCGAGCCGTCGGCTTACGGGTGCGGAATCAAGTTACAGCGCTTTGGAGAGGGAGCTACTCGCGATAGTGTGGGCTATCGACCATTTCAGGCCATACGTATTCGGGAGAAAGTTTCGAGTCCACACCGACCACAAACCCCTTCAGTGGGTAGGGAAACTCAAGGAAACCTCAGCTAGGGTCACGAGATGGAAGGAGGTCCTTAGCCAATACAATATAGAGGTGGTGTATAAGCCGGGAAAGAAAAACGTGGTGGCAGACTGGCTCTCTAGGGCCATCATGATCAACGCGGTTGAAGAGGACAGGGGAGGACCATCGCGGGATGTGCGTCAATTCTTGAGTGAATGGACTCCTGATGGCGAAGGGGCAAATGATACCGCAGGTATAGAGGACAGGGAAGAGTCCCCAGAAGAGGAGAGCTCAGAGGAGGAAAGGGCAGCGGAGATGGACGAAATAGATGAAATCGTTAACGACAAACATCGTCAGGTGATCTGGAAGAAACGAACAGCTGGGATCATGAAAATAGATTTCAGAAGATATGGGAGGAGTAGGATTCACGTCATTTGGTCGCAACCCGGGGTAAACGAAGAGCAAATCCGTACGGCACTGAGGGACGCCTCGGAAGCGGGTAAAACGCACTATCTATATGTTGGGAATAATACAGTATGGAACAAGATAAAGCAAATGTGGAGATCCGAGCGAATAGGCGTGGACAGGACATTCATCCGGTGCAAGTATGCGGTGGAGACGATACAAGATAAAGAGCAACAGCAAGCAGTCACATTGGCATATCACCAGGGGAAAACCAACCACCGAGGTGTGAACGAGACGTTGCAGGCATTACGTCGAAAGTATTTCTGGTGGGGCATGAAGAGATCCATCCAGGAAATCATTGGGAAATGTGAGATATGCATGCGCACAAAATACGATCGACACCCCCCCCAGAGGAGTTCAGGAGGAGACACCTACAGGGAATATGCCGCTACAAGACCTCCAGATTGATACATTCACCTGGAAAGGGTTCAAGTGGGTCACTATAATCGACGTCTTCAGCAAAGTGACGATGGCACATCAGGTCATGGACAAGTCAGCCAATGCAGTTGCGGAAGCCCTACAAACCTGGGTGCAGTTCTATGGGGTCCCCGAGAGGATTACATCAGACGGTGGTAGGGAGTTTGACAATGCCGCGATTAGGGAGGAGGTGAAGCGATTGGAGATTGCGTGGCATTATAACACCCCGGGACATCCTAAAAGTAGAGGCGGCATCGAACGGTTGCACAGCACACTGAGTGACCACATCCGTGTATATCAGGGGGAAAAAGGGTTGGAGCCGGATGTTGCGATAAAGAAGGCGGTAACAGCCTATAACCACTCGATCCACTCTGTAACGGGATTTTCACCCGTAGAAGTTCTATTCGGGACCCGCAGGCCAAGGCGGGATTATGGGGAAATAACGATTACCGAACCGTTAGTAGAGCAAATTCAGAGCCATAGGGTAGAGGTAGAGAAGACAAGGGAAAGGTAACGGCGAGAATTAAGCGGGAAAAGAAGAAGCGGGTGGAGAGGCAGAATGTGCAGGTACGCGACCAAATGGGAGAACTAAAGATCGGAACAATAG